ACAATAAAAACAGACAGGTGGTAACTGTAATTCTTGTTTTATTCTCTACTTCTTTACTTGGCTCCTTGAGGGCAGGACAGTCCTCATTTATGGCTATATCTCTATTGCCTAAAAACAGGGAAGTCTTCCTGGTCAAAACTATTTTCATAGTAACAAGATACCATAGTACTTTTTTCATTATTGCAAGTGTACAGAGGCCACGTGATAATGACATCTTCATTGATATTAATGGTGCCATATATTACTGGATTTTCTAAGGTGGTGGGTAAGTTTAGGTACATACACTTGTTTTTAGAAATTTTTTCTAGTTTTGGTAAGAAATTAACTCAAGCTCTTTAGGTAATAACCTTCTGAAATCTCTGCAACCTCGATATCATGTGATTGGTTATCTTAAAATCCTATAGTTGTCCTTAGGTCTAAGCATAATCTTATTTTGTCTTAAGTATTTTTCCAAAACTTACAACATTTTAACTTCATTCAAAACTAAATTTATATTTTCCTCATATTTAAGAATGGATCATTGTTAATCTTGTGATCTTAAAGACAAGACTAACCTTCTTTGTCTGCTATACCATCTATGTTTAAAAATGCCCCCAATACGAAGATTGTCTCAAAAAGGGTTAACTCAAAAGAAACCATCAAAAATGAATATATAAAAACTAACATTACATGGCACCTGTAGCACAGTGGTTATGGCGTCAGCCACATACACTGAGGCTGGAGGGTTTAAACCCAGCCCAGGCCAGCTAAAAACAGTGATAACTGCAACAAAAAATAGCCGGGCATTATGGTGGATGCCTCTAGTCCAGCTACTCAGGAGGCTGAGGCAAAAGAATCGCTTAAGCCCAAGAGTTTGAGGTTGCTGTGACACCATGGTACTAACATAGGTTTTGGTCTTTGTGTTTTGAGACACTGTCTCACTTCATCACCCTAGGTAGAGTGCTGTGATGTCATAGCTCACAACAACCTTAAACTCTTGGGCTTAAGTGATCCTCTTGCCTCAGCCTCCCAAGTAGCTGGAACTACAGGCACCCCCCACAATGCCCTGCTTTTTTTTTTTTTTAAGAGATAAGGTCTCACTCTGGCTGGTCTTGAACTCGTGAGCTCAGGCAATCCACCTGCCTCGGCCTCCTAGAATGCTAGGAAAGCGTGAGCAACCATGCCTGGACCCAACATTACAGGTTTTCAAAATAGAAATATTTGAATAAGCTACTGAAATCTTTTTTTTTTTTTTAAGCTACTGAAATCTTGAAGGATAAGTTAATTATATTGGAGAAACAAAAAATAGCTGAGAAACTTGAAGTTCACATTGCTGAATGTCTGGTGTTCACAATTGTGCAGGCCAGAGTGGCTCACATCTGAAATCCTACCACTCTGGGAGGCCAAGGCAGGTAGATCCTTTGAGCTCATGAGTTCTGAGAGCAGCCTGAGCAAGAGACCCTGTCTCTACTAAAAATAGAAAAAAAAATCAGCCAGGTATTGTGGCAGGTTCCTATAGTCCCAGCTACTCTGTTGGCTGAGGAAGGAGGATCAGGAGTTTGAGGTTTCTGTGAGCTGAGCTGACAACAGACTGGGTAACAGAGTAACAGACTGTCATGTCCAGACATGAATTCTGAGTTTGTAGCTCATCTACAGAGTATACACTTTTCCCTTCCTATCTGTGGGAGATTGGTTTCAGCACCTCTGGCAAATACCATTGTTCAAGTCCTCTCTCTAGATTATAACACTTAATACAATGTAAACACTATGTAAATAATTGTTACACTGTTTATTTTTATTTGTAGCAAAGTGTCTTTTCCACTTTTTTTCCCCACATATTTTCAGTCCACAGGTGACTGGATCCACACCTGGGGAACCTGAGGATACAGAAGGCCAAGTTTTTTTATACCTTAAAAATGTCTAAGTCAGTCTGTAAATGTGGCTGGACTAGTTACGTCAGTTTGCCATGCATCAGCATCAACTAATCAAAGATACTCTTATGTGAAAGCTTGGCGGCAGACACATGTCCTGACATAGTCCAAGTGTGGAATAATTTTTTTTAATTTCATAGTTTATCCTAAACAGCTGTTATCTTTGTACTAGTGGTAGAAAGGCAACAGTGGGGGAAACTTGAGGAACCTTGGCACGAATCAAGGCAGTAGCATCAAACTAGAAGTTATTCTTCATAGTAATGCATTTGGAGTATGAACTCAAAAAGAAAAAGACAGGGTTTACTTTAAAATGTCCTGTGAAAGGAGTAAAACTATGTTGTTAAATCTAGCCCTCCCCCCCAACAAGTGTGCATAAAGTGGAGTAAGATGGTTGTCAAACTGAATCAGCTACTGTTTTTTTTTTTTTTTTTTTTTTTGAGACAGAGTTTTATGCTGTCCCCCTGGGTAGAGTGCCGTGGCATCAAACCTCACAGCAACCTCCAACTCCTGGGCTCAAGCGAGTCTCCTGCCTCCGCCTCCCAAGTAGCTGGGACCACAGGCGCCCACCACAACACCCGGCTATTTTTTGGTTGCAGCTGTCATTGTTGTTTGGCGTGTCCGGGCTGGGGATTCGAACCCGCCACCTTAGGTGTACGTGGCTGGCGCCTTAGCCGGTTGAGCTATAGGTGCCGAGCCAGCTACTGTTTTCTTAAAGCTTAATTTTCACTTGAAGGAATGACAAGATTTTGGTTATAAGGAGTTGGTTATTGATCAGATATTTTCTCAAACATCATGGAAGTGAGCCTATCAAAAAGAACTAATAGTCCATAATAAAATCTAAACTTTGAGGTGAAAACTCAGAATTTGGAGGAAACTTGTGTCTGGTATTGGGAATCTGACAGCTTCCCAAAGCCTTTTTTTTTTTAAACAGCCCCAAGCTTTCGCCCTGGGTAGACTGCTATGGCATCACAGCTCGCAGCAACCTCCAACTCCTGGGCTCAAGCAAGTCTCCTGCCTGTGCCTCCCAAGTAGCTGGGACCACAGGGGCCTGCCACAACGCCTGGCTATTTTTTTTGGTTGCACCCATCATTGTTGTTTGGTGGGTCCAGGCTGGATTCGAACCCACCACCTTAGGTGTATGTGGCTGGCACCTTAGCCACTTAAGCCACAGGCACCAAGCCCTAAAGCCTTTTTTTAAAAGATAAGTAGTGATATTGATGAATATATTTTTGATACTTACATAGTGAAAAGGGTCAACTTTTTTTATAGTTCCATGAAACTTAATAATGCATGTTACTATAATATTTAAAATTAAAATTATTTGTATTCTAATATGGTAAAATGTCGGTATGTAGGGCCCTCAATTTTAAGAATGTGAAGGGATCCTGAGGCCACGAATTTTAAGATATGACTGCTCTAGCACAATGCACATAATAAACACTCAAAGCTGTTGAATGACGAGGTGGAGCTAAAAGATAATTCAAACTATTTAGACCTGGATGACTAGGATTATGGGCATGCTAAGACACGTTGAAAGAATGTTCATGTTGAATTTTAGGTGGAACATACAAAGCAAACTAGTAGTAGGCAGTGAGAAATACAGAATTGGGGCTTGAAATAAAATACCAAAAGGATTTCTTCTTTCTGTTAAAAAATTGTTTCTACCATAACTTCAGTGAATAGTTGTAACCAGCCACAACTGGTTAACAAGTTATCTATCCCTAAGACAGAAATAAAAAAGGATTGAGCATTATAGCATGCCCAGCCTTCTGACCACATGATGGCCCATGTTGCCTCATTATTATACACAATCTTCCTCATCTTTTCACATTCTTACGGTACAGGATACCTACTTCAAAGGTAAAATCCAAGGCTACACAAGAAGTAGGTGTCAGATGTAACTCAACTGAAGGCTATCTGAATTCTGCTTCTAGCTCATTACCTACTTATTCTAGTTACCAAACATACTAGGGGGAGAGGATGGCAAGCTAATGTCTATCTACTACATATATTTGAGTGGTTACATGTCTGGTTACATGTTAATTGCAGTATTTGACAGAATTAAAGCCATGTTGAGTCAAGTACAAAACTGATTATTTCCCTAAAAACTAAGCTATTTTACAGAAGTTCACTCGTTTCTTCAACAAATATTAAATGCCCAGTCTGGCAGGTATTGTGCAAGTCACTGTAAAAACTGATGAAAATACATGGTCCTTATTCTTTTTGGGTTTGTGAACTGCTGACCAACTTTCACATATTTTGAGGTTTAAATGGTTTCTTTTATCAGAAGTGAAAAGTTATTTGCAATCTACCTATAAATACAAGTGTGCAAGATGACAATGGCAAAAGCATGCCATCTGCTTCCAATTCGTTGTCAAATTTAGGGTAGTACATCATAGAAAAAATAGACTACATGGCTAAAGTGAACTCTTCCAAAGGAAAGAAGTACTATGCCCCTTTTATTCTAAATAAGTGGTTCTCAACCTTCCTAATGCTGCAACCCTGTTTTCAGTGTTATGTTATATACTAACAACACTGAAAATCTAAGCTGAATGCAGCCAGATGCTTTAGACTAGACTAAATGAACTCCACATAAAACTTCAACTGTTCTTTGTCCTAGGGAATCACCATTTTCGTAAGGACAATGTTGAGGTTATTTTATTTTCCACAAAGTTATCTTAGAAAGGACAGGATACAACTGTAAAAATTAATATGAATAGAAATCCAGGAGAAAATAACCCAAAAAAGGTACATGACTCTCAAAAAGTTTTTCATTCAAATATATATCACTTTTTCCTCTAGCTCTTGTAAGAAACCAGGCACAAAAATACAGGTTTGGTTTTGAGAAAACAAATATGGGGGGGGGGCTTTCCACTTGGATTCCCCCCCTCCACTGCCACAGGTTCTGTTCCCCTTCCTTTGCCTATCAATCTTTCAATAAACATCTTGTCACTGAAAAAAAGGAAAAGAAAAGGGAAGGGCAGCGCCTGTGGCTCAAAGGAGTAGGGTGCTGGCCCCATATACCGGAGGTGGTAGGTTCAAACAACCCCGGCTAAAAACTGCAAAAAAAAAAGAAAACACACACCTTTGTGTACTGAAAGGAAGAGTTTTTAGTTTGGCTTGTTGGTCCCATACCTCATCTACCATTGTGTGTGGTATTTACAAAAACCAATGTTCCATAAAACTACTAACAGTGAACTATCTTCGCAATCTCTTTGATAAATCCTGGTACTATTTTAATTGTATATACTTATCTAAACACCAGATATGTATTTTAATTCTTAAGGCAAATGGTAAATTTTGCTGTAGGTTTATGAAATTCTGTCATGGGGCAAACCCTGTTCATAAAATGTAAAATGCTTCATTTTTGAGATTAAAGTAAAGAACTTGAGCAACTGAATAGCAAAGCTGATAAGCGTGAAATGTAGCCTAACATGTTTTCTAATTATGTTTTCTGCCTTTCTTTTAGGCTAGGGTAGCTTTGAACTTGCTACAATAGATAACAGGCTATGAAGCCCAAAAATAAGATGTTCTAAACCCAAACCCCACAGCATTTCTCTAGGCTTTTCAGTATATATCTTTAAGGTGTTTTAAGCAAAACACTAATTGCCTGGCTACCCTTTTAAATAGCTTCAAGAAAAAGCTTTGCTTTCTTATAAGACTTTTCAATTCCATCACACCCTTTGCTAACTAGTGTGAAGCTTTGTACTGGTTTTAAGAGTACACACTACATTTTCGTTAATACTATTTTTCTCAAAAAGCAGGTTTTTTCATGCTCACGTTTCCAGTGTTGTCAAGTACTATAGTCATCGTCATTCTTTGCATTACCAAGGAGTTCCTTGTTCTACAGGATGTACAAAAGGCTGAGGTGTACGTCCCAGAACATAAACTGCAGCACGAAGGCCCCCAATGTTCACCCAGACTGTATCCACCTTTCGCCATACATGTCGCATTCCAGATAATGCCTGTACACACAAAAAGCATAAAAGCAATTAGACTGACAGTCTGCTTCTGTATCTCAGCTGCCAGCTATGAACCACTAGGCAAAGACAAAACATATCCTATTCCAAACTAGTATCTCCAAGTCTACTTAAAAAGATCCTACAGTTGCCACACGCTGAGATTTTGACCTAATGTTGAAATGTGTAGCACCTTGGTAAAGCACTTCGTGTCCTGAGTAAGAAGTACAGCTCTGCCTGTTGCAGGCGTGCAGACACGGCTCATCTCCCGTAGGCAAGCTGGATAAAGGTTCCAGTTTCTCTTCTTGGAGCCCATCCTATAAAAGAAGGTCTAATGAGTCAAATATTGTTGCAAAAGGTAAATGCCTAGGACCATATGAAATGGGAAGATAGTTTCATACATCCTGAGGCATGAAAAATACTTGTATTGGCTCAGCACCTGTAGCACAGTGGTTGTGGCACCAGCCACATACACCAAGGGTGGTGGGTTCGAACCTAGCTGGGCCAGCTAAACTGCAACAAAAAAATGGCCGGGCATTTTGGCTGCCCAAAACTGGTGGGCACCCGTAGTCCTAGCTACTTGGGAGGCTGAGGCAAGAGAATCGCTTAAGCCCAAGAGTTTGAGATTGCTGTGATCTCTGACACCACAGCACTCTACCAAGGGCAACATATTGAGACTGTCTCAAAAAAAAAAAAAAAAATGTGTTTTTAGAAACCAGAGCTTTGTCATTACATGTCAATGAAATAAGCTGAGTGAGGTAACTGCTTAGAATTCTGAACCAGAGGCTCGGCACCTATGGCTCAACCGGCTAAGGCGCCAGCCACGTACACCTAAGGTGGCGGGTTCGAATCCCCAGCCCGGACC